CACTTCTCAGTATTTCTAGGTTTACTACAATTGGGGAGTGATCATTGTTATATGGCTGTCTCCCCCACCAGAGCATAAGCTTCACAGGGCAGGGACTTGTCACCATGCCTGTCACCATGCCAGATTCATAGTAAGTGTTGAACAGATATTTGCTGAACTAATCCAAGAAAAGGTGTAAGGATTGAGGAAAACAATAACAAAGCCATCTGACTTAGAAAACTGAATTCTGCCTTGTCTGGAAAGACCACCTTGGCCTTCTTTCCCAGGCCCTTGGTGCTGTGAAATGTCACCAGCAAACAGGTCCTGAGATTCTGCCTTAGACCTGCATGCCCAGTGATGTGAACAGAAAGAATGGACCATGAAAGCTAATCCCCATAGCCCCGGTTTCCTAAGGTCTATCCTGATTTTAAATGCTAGAGGATAGTTTTGTTGTTGTTGTTGTTTTTGTTTTTGTTTTAGCTCACTGATTTATTTGCGTAGTCCTAGTGGCTTTCTCAGAAAGGAGCTGTAGCTGCTTGTTTTGAGAACCTCAAATTCAGGTGAGGCCTATAAAAAGAGCCATCAAGGGAAGCTAGGATAGGGAAGCTCTGGGCCCCACTTGACTAGTGTCCGGGGATCTAGTCATGCCCTATTAAGGGTTTTTGCCTCTGGGTCTTGACAGTGTGTTTTGGTCTTCCTGTGTTCCTTAACAAAAAGCCCCTCCTCTGGAGGAAAACCATCCTAAAGCAATGAGCTCTTCCAAGTCAATTTGACAGCTATGGGGAGACCCTTTTGAAAAATGGAAGGCTGGGCAGTAAGGGCAAGTTTGTAAGGTACCAGTCTCTCCTCTGGACTCTCAGCACCATTGATCTGCACCTGTTTTGCCCCCACTGGTGCAGTTCTTCCTAGATATAAAGACTTACTCTCCTCCCTAATGGGAGCACTATCCAATGTGCTGTCTCAGAGGAGATACATAAGACTACATAGTACCTGCCTCTTAACACACACGCTAAAGCTGCCAACTTCATCTGAGACTGATGAAGATTTCAAGTGGATGTTGAAATCTCCAACTGCATCTTCACGACAATAACTACTGAGATTAAAATTGAGAAATTCAGCATGACCCAGATGTAAGAAAATATTTGAATGGAATCTATTTTCTTCTAATTTCTGCTTTATGAAAACTTTCAGAGCCCTGCATTTAGAATTTGGCCAGCTCCATCATCCCAGGAAACGGGGCGCAAGAAACTTGCATATAGAAAAGGCAGTGTTTCTCATCTCCTACAGAGATGAGAGTGATTTGATACTGGATGAGACCTTTAGAAATGACTGCTTGAATTTGAGCCACAGACTGAGACCCTTATGACTGTTTTGAGTTTGGATCTCTCATAGAGCAGGTAATGCCAAACCGTAGACAGGACACACAGCTGGGACTCTAGACATGCCATAAGAAGGACTGTTTCTTTAATTCACCCCCCACAAATGATCCTATAATGTATTCTAAAATGCACAAACTCAAGTCCTTGTATATGAAGTTGTTATAGTTACAGAAAAATATTTGTGCACCCAGAGATAACATGAAATCCTTCTACAGTGAAAATAATCTCCTCTGGAAAGATCTTTGAAGGTCAGAGATGGTGCCATGGCCAGAGGGCATGAGTGGTGGGGGTGCAGTAGCCTTTAATGTGTCCCATGGCATTTGTATTGCTTGTGAGTCCCATTTAATGACATAAAACGAGGGAGCTGGCGTGTGAAGGTGAAAAGACACACAACCCAAGAGCACACTGTAATCTGTTTATTTTGTACAATTGACATCATAAGCATGGGTTTGCTTGTGTTCTAGTTTATTTCCAGTAAATAAATAACTATGTACAAATGTGCCGAGTTTACAAAATAGTGGAGGAAAACATTTGTCTTACAAAAGATACACTTATATGATACATTTTTTTCCCCACACACTGAAGCATGATTTCATTCCTAGCTTAGTTGATCCAAAGACCTTCTTGACCCTGTGTAACAATGTCCAGAGCAGTGTACCTCGTCTTTTCTACCAGAAAGTAAAGCTATACAGTGATGATTCCTCAGTTTCTTGAGAATAAAGGGCCTGACTTGGCCAGCTACTTATTACTGATCCATATTTCATGTATTCCAGCAAATTGGAAGCTGTCTGAAACAGTTGTCCTCAAACCCCCTGAAGAACTTGTTAAAACACAGATTCTCATGAACTAGGTGGGGTGGCGCCTAGGATTCTGCATTTCTAACCAGCACATTCCAATGGCCAGCCTAGAAGGCGACTCTGAAATGGGAGAAATTCTCCAAGGGCCTGATTAAGGCAAAATCCTAACTAGGCATTCTCCAGGCTCCATTCCCAAGCTCCCCAATTCCATAAAACCGGTAGAGCTGGTTTTATTTTGGCCTACAGTGACAAAACCCATGAGACTTAAACTGATAATTCACATGAATCATGCAGCTCAAAACTTTCTTAAGTTGTCTCCTGGGAGGTGCTTCTCTCTTCTGTCCAACTAGAGCATTTTCAACACTGTCACAAAAAGTAATAGTGGTAATAAAAAGGAAACTGCGTAAGAAGTTCAACAACAATTACTACTTTTCAGTACAAATCAAAACAACAACAATAATAAAACCCAAGTTCACTATTTAAAAAATAAAGATAAAAAAAACCTCTTGGGTTTAATTTCTATAACAGTCCATCAACATTAATTTAAGTAATTACTCTCAAATTTTAACCTTTGTTCAAATTGTTTCGCTCTGGGAGCCTGACATTTCAGGAGAAATTAGCAGATCTGGTGAAAAAGCAAATGCCCAACCATTTCTGGTTTTAGTGTTTTTGTTTCTGTTTCACATATGAGTTCTGCTTGGGCAGAGAGCTAAGAGGAAAAGAAGTAGGGTCAGACACAGGTACAGCGACGTCGGGTGAGTCGGCTCAGTTCCTGGGAGGAAAAACCAGGCTTGAATGAGCAGGGAGAGATGCGGCCTGGGTCCATAAATCCAAGAGGGCTGGGGAAAAACTCACCTGGATGGTTTAACTGCCACATGTCAGGTGAGAGTATATATAGGCAGTGACAGACAGAGACGGACAGAGAGGGGGAGAGAGAGGGGAAGGGAGGTATGTGCAAAGTGTGTATTGAAGACATACAGGTAGAGAAAAAGGGACAAAAAAAAAGAGAGACAAAAATAAAATTCTAAATACTTAAAAAAATAAATATCTTGGTCATCACTAGCCCACCGGCTCAAGGTCTGTCCAAAAGGCCACCGAACAGCAATGCTCACCCCTCCCGCGTCCCGTGGGGAGGGCCTGGGACACTCTGCAGTCTGTGCCTTCATTGCAAACTTGCCATCTCTGCCCAGTTGTCCGTCGACGCCGTGGAAGAGGCTGGGGGTAGCCCTGCGTGCAGTCCCCTCCACCTCCCCACCTATGCATGGAATCAGAGAAAACAGCTTGGGGAGGTTGAGGGAAGGTCTTCCCCAGGTGCAATGCCAGTTACAGTGCTTTCGGGTATCCAGAGAGTAAAGCTGGGCACGGGGGCGTAGGGGCACAGGAGGAAGGCAAAGGCCACACAACACCCAGGCTGGGCAGGGAGGCCCCTCAGAGTTTCTGCAGCGTCCGCTCAGTTCGCACGTGCTGCAACACCTCCTCCACGGCAGGGGCCGCGCTCTTGTACTCCAGCTCCGCCCGCGCAGAGCCCTGCTTCTTGCGCAGGTGGCAGAGAAGCGCCAAAAGCGCCACGACCAGGGACAGACACGCGATGGAGGTGCCTATGAGCACGCCTGAATGCACAGGCTCCGAGGACGGGGGACTCGCGGTGGAGCGGGGCATTGGGCTGGCCGGGAGCTCCCCAGAGCCGCCGTCGTCTTCAGTGTTCACCTCGGTGGAGTCACAGTCCCTGCCAACCTGGACGGCGACGGCCGAGTCGGGCCTGCAGATGCACTCGAAGGTCCCCGGTAGGTTGCGACACTCGTGGGAGCAGTAGCCGCCATGGTTGCACTCGTCAATGTCTGTGCACATGAAACCTTCATCCAGGATGTAGCCGTCGGGACACTGGCATCTACCCGGGGTGTTGGGGTCGCAGTCGGCCGGACATGCAGTCTGGTTGCAGAACATCTGGCACTTGTGCGGCTCATTGGGGATAGGAGCAAAGCCCTCGGCACAGACGCATTGGTAGTGGGTTTGGCCCATGGGCTGGCACTGGTACTCGCAGTCAGCCCCTAAGCACGGGTCCACGGGCTCCACACACTCGCCGTCCACCAGCTCGAAGCCGGAGCGGCAGTGGCACTCGAAACCGCCCTCCATATTGACACAGAGCTGCGGGCACGGACTGGGAACCAGCGTACAGTCGTCCACGTCCTCGCACCGGTGCCCGTCGGCCGCCAGCTGGTAGCCGGCTTCGCACATGCACGAGTAGGAGCCCGGCACGTCGGGGTCGGGGAAGCACAGGTGCTCGCAGAGGCTGTCGCACAAGTGCACGGCGGGCGTGGCGCAGGAGCGCCCATCGGCCTGCAGGGCGGCGTCGGCTGGGCAGAGGCAGCGGGGTGCGCCGGCGCTCTGGTTGCATGAGTGCTCGCAGCCGCCGCGCTCCACGCTGCAGTCCCAGGCGCCCGGCGCCACCCGACCCCAGCGCGCCTCCTCCGCGTCGCACTGCTGCTCCTGCCAGGCCGGCTCGCCGGGCGCAGGGGTCCCGGCAGCCGAGACTGTGACGCACAGCGGACCGCAAAGGGGAGCCCCATCGCGGTCGAGCCGAGCCCACCTGCTGTAGCTGGTGCTGTTGTCTCCGGTAACCCACTGGAAGCCGCGCAGGGGCCCAAGGTGCCCGGGGTCGCCGCAGCCCTGCGCGAGATGCAGGCCGATCCAGAGGCGCAGGCCGTCACCGCCATCGTCGCTCAGCAGCAAGGATATGACATCCGCAGCGACTGAGGACCGCACAGTCATCAGGTGGCCCCGCAGGCGCTCGCAGGCTTGGCTGGCAGCGAGGAAGGTCGCGCGGCCCCGGAAAAGCGCGAAGCAGTCGTGCTCGACACACTGGCTACCACTGGGTTGCGGCTCCGGGGTTGCCGGAAGCCCGAGGCCGGCCCGGGCCAGCACGCCAAGGAGCAGGACCCTGAGCATGCTGCACGGGCGGGCACGACTGGGCAGCGGCCGGGGCTGGGAGAGGCAGGGCGCCGCCGGCGACAGCCGCTAGTGTCCGTCCCAGCCCAGGCGCTTCTGGCCTCGGCGCGCAGCCTGGCGAGGCAGCCTCTGACATGCGGATCGGCCGGAGCCCGAGTTTATAAATGCCAGGCCCTCCCTCCCTGGACGTTTGGGAAAAGGAAGGAAGTGCCTGGTGGGAAGGGCTGATGCTGCATTCTCGGATTACTGGGTTCTACGGACGCCTTGCGCCCGCCCTCGCGCCTGGGATCACCGCGGGGATGAGTAAACCCGGCCAGGACGCGGGCAGGTCTCTGGGCGGGGGCGGCAGGCGCAGGCGCCACGGAAGGGCAGCACCCCTGTCAGCAAGGCGACAGTCCCCGCCCCCACCACTTGCGCCACTCCTTAATCTCTCGGTCTTCTTTTCTTTTTTATTTATTTTATTTATTTATTTTTCCCCATAAATGTTATCATTGACTTCAAGGCAAACCTGGATTGCAGGGATCTGGGAATAGGAGACCTGGGAGAAGACGGTTTTAAGGGGGTGGGGGGAAAGGGTAGAGCAGGGAGGGATAATGCCCAGGATCTGGAGGACTCTGGGAAGCGCTACCTAGGATGTGGATTTCGACAAAGACTCGATTGCAAAGAGACAAAGCTGGACTCTGCCCTGGGGGCTGGGCGCCTGGTTCCGGACACAAGGAGAGCGCCTGGCCCCTGAGGACAGTGGGTGTGGCTGGGGCCACGACAGAGCGAAGCGGGAAGCACTGGCCTAACACCAGTGCCCCTCCTCCCTACGGCTCGTTAGGGACCCGCGAGTCCCTGGGCACCCGCTTCAAGGCCGGCCGACCCAATCTTGGTTGCAAGGGAAAGTCGCGAGGACACTGTCAGGACCCCGAGGTCCCCAAGCGGTGGCAGGTGAATTCTTGCCAAGTCCCGGAGGGATGGGAGTGTCGGGGACGCGTTAGCCTGGTCTCTTTCTGTCCAGCTTCACAAAGGGACAATCAATCTCGTTCCCACTTAGGAGTTCGTGGGCAGCCCCCGCGGGGAGGCGCTGCGGGCTCCAAGCGGATCTCACTTGGGTCTATGAAGGACCTTTCCATTTCGTTGAGAGGCCGAATGAATACAGAAGTGCATATAAATGCCACTTGTTCTGCAAAGGACATTGAAGAGGGGCGGTCCTGGGGGTGAGCAGGGTGGGGAGAGCTGGGAGGAGAGGATGGGAGGAGGGGATTGCGACCTTATCCGCTTATTCACTTGCCAAGAATGCGGAGAGGTCGGTCCAAAACATAACAAAGACTGGCAAACTTTTTCTTCCCAGCAAAAACACCCTGTTTCATCTGTCCGCCATGGTCACTCACAGCCAAGCACCAGGAGGCGGCGCTGTTGAACTCTAAACAAAGCCAAAGAAGTTGGAGATGAACTAGCCGGGCTGTAAGGGGTTAAGCGTGTGGGGACCGCAGAGACTTCGCCCTAGGGTAGAAAACTCGGCTCCGGGGAAGCTCCGCAGGGATTCTACAGCTTGCAGGTCTTGCCTCCCTGGTCCAGGACAGCCCAGACTTTAAAGAGAAGAGTGGCGTCCTCACGTGCCCAAGACAAGCACCGGCGGGCTGGACTGGACTGGACCGACCGACAGTGACCGAGGGGGTGGGGCGTGGACACTCCCAAAGTGAAAGGCGGGAGGTGCCCAGCGGCGGAGCGACAGCAGGGACTGCAGAGCTGCCCTGCACTGCGCCGAGCGCTGATCTGCTGTGGGAAAGCTGCCCGGCTGGCTCCGGGCTACGAAAACTAGGTCTGAAGCTTCCTAGGATGGGCGCAACTGCACCCCACCTGACGCGGACCCTCTGCGAGGGGAAGACTACCAGACTGCAGAGTCGGGCTGTCCCCGTGCGGCAGGGCAGGCGCCGGCGGCTTTGGCTGTCAGGGGGTCGTGACTCCTGTGTGCACACGCCGCCCATGTGGGACGCTGAAGAGGGACCTCCTGGGGTGCAGGCGCGGGTAGAGGGGGAGTTCAGATAGGGGCTACAACCCCGTTGGGGCGCTGCTGAAAGGTCTCAGAAAATGGGGGAAGTTCCCTGGGTGGCTGAGACAAGAAAGGGGACAGGGCCACCTATGTAATCTGCAGAGCCCAATACAAAATACAGTGAAAATGTGGGGCCCCTTGTTCAATTACGAAGAACAATTACTAAGAATTTCAAGACTGTGACAGCAAAAGAATTAAACAAGGGTGGGGACATTCTGAAAAGGGGTCCTCCTGAGCGGGGGTTCTTCTGAGCCTGCCGACCCTAAAAGGGGCTGAGGGAATTCCGGAACCAGGTCTTGCCCCACACCAGGCTGGTTCAGTTCTTGGATGGGTTGCAGCTGATCACCACCATCATCTTTGGTTATAAGCCCTGTTCAGGTCTCCCTGAGCCTGCAACTGACTCTTACAAAGGAAAAGAAACAAGAAGGAAAAAAAAAAAAAAGATGAAGTGTGAAAGCAGCCCCAGTAACTGAGTCCACCGAGAATGCAGTGATGGCTGGGGAACTCGGGCTACCCCTCTTTGAGGAGGTGTTGGATGTTTAAAAAAAAAAGATGAAGTGTGAAAGCAGCCCCAGTAACTGAGTCCACTGAGAATGCAGTGATGGCTGGGGAACTCGGGCTACCCCTCTTTGAGGAGGTGTTGGATGTTTACATGTTAGAAAGAAATTAGAGCAACAACTAAATGGAGGTAGAGCATTGACCTGTGGCTGGCGTCAGCAGTCTCTGGGCTACCCTGTGAGAGGATGCGTGGGCAGCACCCATGGGGTTTCCCACCCCCAGGCTTTCCCTCTGGTGCTCAGCATGTATCACCTTTGCCTTCCAGGGCCCACCCTCTCCAGCCATCTCTGTGGCCTCTGTTCTTGCCCTGCCTCATTCTTCCTATCTGTACCTCCTGCAAGCAGGGATGGGCCACTCCCTCTCGTGGGGATGACACATCCCCCTCCCTCTCCTTGGCCCAGCTCCTGACTCTGCCACCCTCACTGTGGGCTCACCAGCCAAGATTCATTCTACTGCTATACAGCCCCCGTGAAAAACACCCATCATGTCCTAAATACTCGGACGCCAAGAGCGTGTTTTCAATCCTCATTCCTCTAGATGTCTCTGTGTCATTTGCACTCTTGACTCGCACCATTGTCAAAGCTTCTCCTCCTGTGACCTTGAAGACACATGTCCTCCTGCTCCTCCTCTCTCCTGTGAGCCTTGGGGTGGCCCCTTGGCCCTCCTGCCCCACTAGGGCGGCCAGTTCCCAAGGCCCTGCCCATGGTCTTCACCATCCCTTCACATCCCACCCTTTAGTGAACTCGCACGTTTCAGCTGCGATGATAACAGTGTCACAGGAGACCAAGGGTGGGGGCAGGGGTGCCCTAGAAGGGAGCCCAGCCCAGACTTTCTCTGTATCAGTATTTGAGCCACCAGGGTGGAAACCGTGCATTTGTCTTTGTATTCTTATTCTCCCTCCTTCTCTACTTCAGCCTTCATCAGTATTTCCATCTTGTCCTGCCCCTTATAAATTGCCTTAGCAATTTATGCTGAGACAACTGGGTCCCCAACTCTTTTCTTTGCTTCTTTCCTCTCCCACTCTTCACCCTTTGCTGATGCTGGGAGAGGCCCCAGCTCCTTTCCCCTCCGCTCCCCACTCAAGATGCTCAGGACTGTGCCTCTATCCTGTGGCCACAAATGAGGAAATTTGCTCTCAGGGGGCTGCACTGGGATTTGGACCCCAGAGCCTGCACTCCTCTCTTCTCACAAGGCTTCAATGACCAGTGTCCTCCTGGTTCCCATGGATGTTGAAAGGTCCTAGCAAGAGAGGCTCCTGCTCACAGTCACAGAAATGCCTCACCACATCTTTCATTTTATGGGCTATGTCTCTTCCTCTACCAGGAACATGCTCATCTTTACCCCCATCTCCACCTTCTGAAATTTCTCCCTCCTTTCAAGTTCCAATTGACAAGCTACCCCATCAGCAAGTGTTTCAGAGTAAACAAAGCAGAACCTTTCTCTCCATGAGCTTTCATTGGACATGACTTTCTATATAATCACATGCATTCCATGCTCCTGCTACACTGACAGTCTAGTTTCCCAAGGGTGGAGCATAGTTCTTATACACCTCTGCGTCTCCATATACCTAACAGCAGGCTTCGTGCATAGACAGTGACAGGATATTTGAGCACCTGTTGTGGATGTTTTTTGTGCCCCTCTCTAGGGTGATTTTCTCATGTAAAACTGAAAAGACATGAATGGGGGACCTCAGAGCCTCAGGGTTAATTAGGATTATGGGCTTTGGAGCCAACTCAGCTGGATTTGAATTCCAACTCCATCATTTACAAGGTTTTTTTGTTTATTGTTTTCTTTTGTTCTTAAAGATTTGGCAAGTAACTAATCCAGCCTCTTCATGCCTCAGTTTCCTCAATTGTGTGATGGGAATCATCATAGTTTCTCCTTCAAAGTGTTGTTATAAGGATTAAGTGGGCTATGCAGATAAAGCATGTGGAACAGTTTAGCCATATAAACTCTCAACAAATTGTAGCTAAGAAGGAAACACTCGAGTCTCTAGAATTTGGATTCAGCCACTAATTGTATTCAACACTCAGTATGGTTCCTTGTCTCTGGTAGAGACTCCCTAAATATCTGTTGGATTAAATTTGGTCCAGCCAAGCATCTTTACCAGTAACAACAATAAGCAATTGTGAAAAAAAAAACAAAAAACAAGGACCAAAGGGGGCACAGGGAAGGAATTGAAGATATCCCCAGAAGCATGCCCTGCCTCAAACTCCCAGTCTGCCCGGAGGCAGCATTGTTAATTTCCTCATATTTCAGATGAGGAAGATGAAGGTTAGAGGGAATAAGTGCCTCCTCAAGGTCGCACAGCTACCAAGAGGTGATGCAAAGATCCACCAGCCCATGTTAGGATGAAAGAACTACAATGTGGAGTAGGTCCGAGCCCCAGTTTTGCCTAATACCA